CGGGTCTTTTTAGTGTCCCCGCGGCCCGGTCCTCGACCAGGCCTCCAACCCCAGGAAGCAGCCCGTGACAGCAGACTAACACCCAGGTACCTATTTTACTGCTAGGTAACAGGGACATAGGGTGAAAGAAACTCTGCCAATTGTTTCTCGCCAGCGCCTGGGATCGAACCCAGGACGACAGGATCACAAGTCCAGCGTGCTGTCCGCTCGGCCGACCGGCTCCGTATGATAGAGGGACTTTTTAGATTACGGGGGAGGAAATTTATTTATATAATTATTTATTTAAAATGTTTATTGATGATCATGTTGTTTATCATAGCATTTAATATGTACTGATAAGCAGATATCGATACTTTACTGAATATCAGCTTGTACATACTGTACTGTATATCAGCTTGTACATACTGTACTGTATATCAGCTTGTACATACTGTACTGTATATCAGCTTGTACATACTGTACTGTATATCAGCTTGTACATACTGTACTGTATATCAGCTTGTACATACTGTACTGTATATCAGCTTGTACATACTGTACTGTATATCAGCTTGCACATACTGTGCTGTATATCAGCTTGTACATACTATACTGTATATCAGCTTGTACATACTGTACTGTATATCAGTTTGTACATACTGTACTGTATATCAGCTTGTACGTACTGTACTGTATATCAGCTTGTACATACTGTACTGTATATCAGCTTGTTCATACTGTACTGTATATCAGTTTGTACATACTGTACTGTATATCAGCTTGTACATACTGTACTGTATATCAGCTTGTTCATACTGTACTGTATATCAGTTTGTAAGTACTATACTGTATACTATATTGTATAACAGCTTGTTTAATGACGTTCTGCTTTCTCAGTCGATTCAAGTCTTCTGTGTCTGTATGTTGCATGTGACAAGTGATGGCAGTCTCGGCTCTCTGTAAACATTACCTGCCTCCACCACACACACACAAACACCTGCTCATGTATCCGTCTCCATCACACACTTGCCATAAGAATATATATCACTGGAACTCTGCATATCTCAGCGCTTGCAACTAGTCAGCAAAGAAGAGTCTTCCCTTCTCACATGTTTTACATCAGGGGAACGACGGCTGGGAAGACAAGTATCACGTTGACAGTACCTGGGTGAACCTGCGACTGGTGGACGACAACGACAACACCCCCACCTTCAGCAGCGACGAGGCCCACCTCACCCTGCCGGAGGACACGCCACCGGGCACCCTGCTCGCCACCTTCGTCGCCCGGGACAGAGATGGGGTGAGTGATCCCCAGAAACCAGGTGTTTCCGTTGTTGATCATCGCTTTCCCATTTTCCGATTGAGTAGATCTGTTAACATCTTTCATATTTTAATTGATTTAACTTATTTATGTGATAATTCTCATTTTTACCATTCACCATTTACCCTGAATCATTCATTTTTCCTTTACGTTCTTCATATTATTATGTATTATGATATTATAATAATATTAAATATTATTATATTATATATATTATAACACTATACTTCATATTATTATAATATATAATTATATATTATAATAATATGAAGAGGCATGACCCTCAGCAACCCTTCCCTGTCCCCCAGTCCTCCCCACCATTCCCCCCTCCTCTGTCCCCTTGTCCTACCAACCATTCCCCACCCCCGTCCCCTCGTCCTCCCCACTCCCCCATCCCCTTGTCCTCCCCACCATCCCTCACTCCCCTGTCCTCTCGTCGTCCCAACCACTCCCCACTAACCTGTCCTCTTGTCCTTCTCACCATTCTCCTCTCCCCCATCCTCTCGTCCCCACCATCCCTCACTCCCCCATCCCCTCGTCCCCACAATCCCCCACTCCCTCGTCCCCTCTTCCTCCCCACTATTACCCCCCTCCTCCGTCCCCTCGTTCTACCCACCATCCCTCACTCTCCTTTTCTCATCCTCCCCACCATTGCTCTTCCTCGTCGGATGCGTTCCTAAATGATCTGATGTTCCCATCAGACAAATGGAAACATCAAATGATATGATGTTCCCATCACTGAAAAATGAGAAGAACAGTTAAAAAGCGAAATAAAAACAATGAAGAAATTAAAAATAAACTATGCTTACAAAATGAACGGTATGGTAAACAACGCAGCTCAATTCCAACACAATGTCACACAAAGTAATCAAATAAAAATGATATAAATCAAAATCTATGAAAATTCAATTTATCCATGCAATCGGTAACATTGAAATGTAATCGTAACATATTTAGTATAGCGTGTGTTACTTTTACAGGCAACAGAGGGCGCTGTTTTCCCAAAAAAACATGTCTTTACCGGTCACAGGTGAGGCATCTATATTGCAGGTACATAAAAAAACGCGCGTGTTCAAATGCAACGTTGAGTCAAAATTTCAAAGCAATCGGTAAAGAGGTTTCGGAGAGTTCCTTCACATGAAAAGCATAGTTAAAAAAAAAAGGCATTTTTTTTTACCTGTCACATACGTGACATCTATTTAGCATGTATTTAAAAACACGCTCCGATACGAATGGAACGCCGTATCAAAATTTCAAAGCAATCGGTGAAGAACTTTCGGAGATTAGCGATTTTGAACAACATTTACATGTTTATTTATATAGTTTATTATTGATTATTAAACTATTCACCTTCAACCTCCTTTATCTACATCTTTCTCTACACTTTTCTTCTAATTTTCATGATATGTGGTTGAATGAGAAGGAGGGAATTATCAAGGTAAAGCACCAAGCCATTACCATAATATCCAGGTTGAATGGAATTTATGGGTGGGAGGAAGGTTACGTAACGGCACATTTACACCTGCGGTGTCCCTGACCACATGAGCACTGGCGGTGTCCCTGACCACATGGACACGGTGTCCCTGACCACATGAGCACTGGCGGTGTCCCTGACCACATGGACACTGGTGGCGCCCCTGACCACATGGACACTGGTGGCGCCCCTGACCACATGGACACTGGCGGCGCCCCTGACCACATGGACACTGGCGGCGCCCCTGACCACATGGACACTGGTGGCGCCCCTGACCACATGGACACTGGCGGCGCCCCTGACCACATGGACACACTGGCGGCGCCCCTGACCACATGGACACTGGCGGCGCCCCTGACCACATGGACACTGGTGGCGCCGCCCCTGACCACATGGACACTGGCGGCGCCCCTGACCACATGGACACTGGTGGCGCCCCTGACCACATGGACACTGGTGGCGCCCCTGACCACATGGACACTGGTGGCGCCCCTGACCACATGGACACTGGTGGCGCCCCTGACCACATGGGCACTGGTGGCGCCCCTGACCACATGGACACTGGTGGCGCCCCTGACCACATGGACACTGGTGGCGCCCCTGACCACATGGACACTGGTGGCGCCCCTGACCACATGGACACTGGTGGCGCCCCTGACCACATGGACACTGGTGGCGCCCCTGACCACATGGACACTGGTGGCGCCCCTGACCCACATGGGCCCCTGACCACTGGACACTGGCGGCGCCCCTGACCACATGGACACTGGTGGCGCCCTGACCACATGGACACTGGTGGCGCCCCCCACTGACCACTGGACACGGCGCCCCTGACCACATGGACACTGGCGGCGCCCCTGACCACATGGACACTGGTGGCGCCCCTGACCACATGGACACTGGCGGCGCCCCTGACCACATGGACACTGGCGGCGCCCCTGACCACATGGACACTGGTGGCGCCCCTGACCACATGGACACTGGTGGCGCCCCTGACCACATGGGCACTGGCGGCGCCCCTGACCACATGGACACTGGCGGCGCCCCTGACCACATGGGCACTGGCGGCGCCCCTGACCACCTGGACACTGGCGGCGCCCCTGACCACATGGACACTGGCGACGCCCCTGACCACATGGACATTGGTGGCGCCCCTGACCACATGGACACTGGCGGCGCCCCTGACCACATGGGCACTGGCGGCGCCTCTGACCACATGGACACTGGCGGCGCCCCTGACCACATGGACACTAGTGGCGCCCTTGACCACATGGACACTGGTGGCGCCCCTGACCACATGGGCACTGGCGGCGCCCCTGACCACATGGACACTGGTGGCGCCCTTGACCACATGGACACTGGTGGCGCCCCTGACCACATGGGCACTGGCGGCGCCCCTGACCACATGGTCACTGGCGGCGCCCCTGACCACATGGACACTGGCGACGCCCCTGACCACATGGGCACTGGTGGCGCCCCTGACCACATGGGCACTGGTGGCGCCCCTGACCACATGGGCACTGGTGGCGCCCCTGACCACATGGGCACTGGTGGCGCCCCTGACCACATGGGCACTGGCGGCGTCCCTGACTACATGGGCACCTGAGACGTCATAACCACAACGATACCTGCGGTGTTATCAGGGGTAACCCTGTTACCGCTGTAACAAGGTTACAGCGGTAACCCCTGACCACAAGGACACTAGTGGCGCCCTTGACCACATGGACACTGGTGGCGCCCCTGACCACATGGGCACTGGCGGCGCCCCTGACCACATGGACACTGGTGGCGCCCCTGACCACATGGGCACTGGCGGCGCCCCTGACCACATGGGCACTGGCGGCGCCCCTGACCACATGGACACTGGTGGCGCCCCTGACCACATGGGCACTGGCGGCGCCCCTGACCACATGGGCACTGGTGGCGCCCCTGACCACATGGGCACTGGCGGCGCCCCTGACCACATGGGCACTGGCGGCGCCCCGCCCACTGGCGGCGCCCCTGACCACTGACGCCCCCACATGGACACTGGCGACGCCCCTGACCACATGGGCACTGGTGGCGCCCCTGACCACATGGGCACTGGTGGCGCCCCTGACCACATGGGCACTGGTGGCGCCCCTGACCACATGGGCACTGGTGGCGCCCCTGACCACATGGGCACTGGCGGCGCCCCTGACTACATGGGCACCTGAGACGTCATAACCACAACGATACCTGCGGTGTTATCAGGGGTAACCCTGTTACCGCTGTAACAAGGTTATCACTGTTACCATCATAAAACAGTAACCCGTTTTAAGTCGCGTGAACTTAAATCTGACATCAGAGACTCCAGAAGCATGATTTAAGTTAGGACTTTTAAATGAGGTTAACTTAGTGCAGGATGTGTGAATGTAATTTTTTTGTGGGCAGTCAAAATGATTTCAATAGATTTCTGACGTCACTTGCATCATCAACTTCAAATGTGACCTAATTAAACCAATTGCAAAAGCTGAAGGTTCAATCGCAAACAGTGATTCGCTAACGATAAGAAGATTCACTTAGTCGAGTGAAAGTTAGCTATAGTACACTGCTGAGGGAAAAAGATAAATGTCGCAGTCTTGCAGAAGTTGAAGAGAAGCGCCCAAGTGTGGTCGTCTTGATATTCCGAAATAAGTCAATATAAATTATCAAGTAAGCAGTGAAGACCATGTGATCGTTCTTATAGTAAACCATGTTAGAAAACGAGCCGGAGTGTATCCAGTGACGTTGCTGGAGTCTGACTTGTGGTTTCTTGAGATTATCTTGAGATGATTTCGGGGCTTTTTAGTGTCCCCGCGGCCCGGTCCTCGACCAGGCCTCCACCCCCAGGAAGCAGCCCGTGACAGCTGACTAACACCCAGGTACCTATTTTACTGCTAGGTAACAGGGGCATAGGGTGAAAGAAACTCTGCCCATTGTTTCTCGCCGGTGCCTGGGATCGAACCCAGGACCGCAGGATCACAAGTCCAGCGTGCTGTCCGCTTGGCCGACCGGCTCCCTTGGAGGAAGACCATGGAGGAAGAACTGAAACACGAACTTCCCCAAGTAGTTTCATATATTAATACATCTTCATTCCTTCTGAAGATGTATTAATATACGAAAGTACCCAAGGAAATTCCTGTTTCAACTCTCTCTCCGTGGTCTGACACTTGTCATATTATATATATATATATATATATATATATATATATATATATATATATATATATATATATATATATATATATATATATATATATATATATATATATATATATATATATATATATATATATATATATATATATATATATATATATATATATATATATATATATATATATATATATATAGATATATATATATATATATATATATATATATATATATATATATATATATATATATATATGGATAACGAGTAAATATATATATATGTGTATATATATATATATATATATATATATATATATATATATATATATATATATATATATATATATATATTATTAAATATGACCGAAAAAGTAAGATTAATAATTCTAACACGAATTTTCTCAATCTTTCGTACATTACGCTTCACTGTTGGAGGTAAATCAAAAATCACTTCTCCAAAATTCATTTTTATTTCTAGTCTGACGCGACACGGGCGCGTTTCGTAAAACTTATTACATTTTCAAAGACTTCACAAATACACAACTGATTAGCACTTACGTATCTCTGATTTTATATCTACACCGGCCATATACTGCAGGTATGTTGACGACATTTTTACACAGGTACCTGATGTCAGACATCTGCAGGAGCTGAAGGAGGCATTTGAGCAGAGTTCCGTGCTGCGTTTCACTTACGAGACGGAAAAGGATGGGAAGCTGCCTTTTCTAGATGTAACAGTCATGGAAAAGGGCGGAGGTTTCCACACTGCAGTCTACACTAAGGAAACAAACATAGGAATGTGCCTAAATGCCAACAGTGACTGCCCCGACAGGTACAAGAGGAGTGTTGTTAACGCATACGTCGACCGTGCTCTCAGCCACAGCTCAGAATGGAAGCAAGTCGACGAAGAACTCTGTAGGGTAAGGCAGGTCCTAGTCAATAACGGCTTCTCCAATGGTTTCATCGAAGACATCATAAGAAGGAAAGTGAAAAGCCATGCAACCTCTGAAGAGACAACTAACACAACACCTTTACCCCCTATTAGACTATTTTACAGGAACTTCTTTTCCACAGCTCATAAAACGGAGGAAAGGGTCCTGAAAGATATTGTTAAAAGAAACGTTATCCCTACAGACAAAAATCAGAGGATACAACTGACGATTTACTATAAAACCAGAAAAACGGCCAGCCTACTCATGAGAAACTCTCCAGACACAAAACAGAACGCTTTAAAAGAGACTAACGTCGTCTATGCCTTCAAATGCCCACTTGGGGACTGTAAGCTCCAAAAAACCCAGTATATAGGCAAGACAACAACATCTCTTTCTAGGCGTTTAACGATGCATAAGCAACAGGGCTCCATTAAGGAACATATAATCTCTTCCCATAACCAAACCATCGCCAGAGAAATCCTAGTAAACAACACAGAAATCATCGATAGATACAGCGATAGCAGGCGGCTTGACGTTTGCGAGGCACTACACATCAAGAAGTCAACACCAGCAATCAACAGCCAATTATTGCACAACTATATTCTACCCACCTCAAGACTCCGCTCCAATATAGAAGCATCAAGAAATATGGACCAATAGGCTTTCTACAAACACTTCTATTCAATACCCATTGTTTCTGTTCTGTCTTGTGTTGATACTTTTAATACCCTATTAATATCCCCTCCTGTTCTGTCTTGTGTTAATGCCCCATCACCCTTCCCACCTCACTCAAATGTAGATATAATATCAGAGAGACGTAAGTTCTAATCAGTTGTGTATTTGTGAAGTCTGTGAAAATGTAATAAGTTTTACGAAACGCGCCCGTGTCGCGTCAGACTAGAAATAAAAATGAATTTTGGAGAAGTGATTTTTGATTTACCTCCAACAGTGAAGCGTAATGTACGAAAGATTGAGAAAATTCGTGTTAGAATTATTAATCTTACTTTTTCGGTCATATTTAATAATATATGTCTACAGGAAAGACTGCTACCAAAATATACTATAATATATATATATATATATATATATATATATATATATATATATATATATATATATATATATATATATATATATATATATATATATATATATATATATATATATATATATATATATATATGTCGTACCTAGTAGCCAGAACTCACTTCTCAGCCTACAATGCATGGCCCGATTTGCCTAATAAGCCAAGTTTTCATGAATTAATATATTTTCTATAATTTTTTTCTTATGAAATGATAAAGCTACCCATTTCATTATGTAAGAGGTCAATTTTTTTTTATTGGAGTTAAAATTAACGTAGATATATGACCGAACCTAACCAACCCTACCTAACCTAACCTAACCTAACCTATCTGTATAGGTTAGGTTAGGTTAGGTAGCCGAAAAAGTTAGGTTAGGTTAGGTTAGGTAGGTTAGGTAGTCGAAAAGCAATTAATTCATGAAAACTTTGATTATTAGGCAAATCTGGCCTTGCATAGTAGGCTGAGAAGTGAGTTCTGGCTACTAGGTACGATATATATATATATATATATATATATATATATATATATATATATATATATATATATATATATATATATATATATATATATATATATATATATGTCGTACCTAGTAGCCAGAACGCACTTCTCAGCCTACTATGCAAGGCCCGATTTGCCTAATAAGCCAAGTTTTCCTGAATTATTATATTTTCTCTAATTTTTTTCTTATGAAATGATAAAGCTACCCATTTCATTATATATGAGATCAATTTTTTTATTGGAGTTAAAATTAACGTAGATATATGACCAAACCTAACCAACCCTACCTAACCTAACCTAACCTATCTTTAGGGGTTAGGTTAGGTTAGGTAGCAGAAAAAGTTAGGTTAGGTTAGGTTAGGTAGGTTAGGTAGTCGAAAAACAATTAATTCATGAAAACTTGGCTTATTAGGCAAATCGGGCCTTGCATAGTAGGCTGAGAAGTGCGTTCTGGCTACTAGATACGACATATATATATATATATATATATATATATATATATATATATATATATATATATATATATATATATATATATATATATATACACACACATATATATATATCCTATAGCTAGCATTTTGAATATTTTAATGTATATGTTAATTTGGGGGAGGGGGGGGGGAATGGGCTTTATGTGATGGTTACTTTAATAAGTGGGTATAGTGTACAATGTAATTGAAATTTATTTTCACTTTCTATATACAAAATGAAAGATTCTAGCAAGTCAACCTGCATGTGTACACTAGTAAAATACCAATTTTAAATAAATAAATAAAAAGGCAATTATTAATATATTAACAATCTTGTTATGATGTAAAGATTATCAAAACACATATCAAATCAAATATGAAATTAAAAAACAACTAAAACAATTAGAAAGTCAATTTTTTACTCGTTATCCATTAAAATTAATTCTTTAGAAAACCCCTTCAGCTGACTTATAGTGCAAAGAATGAGATGATGCAGTAACACGTCAGGTCATGCAAACCTGACATGTGAATTGAATTAATTTTTATATGAATCAGTTCTCACCGACACGTACCGGAGTTATCACAAGTTGTGTGATGTCTTGCTACCTACACAACTCAACGTATTATTATTTACTGGCCCGCACGCATTACTGCATAATCTGTGCCATATACTTTGAGAGATATGTGTCAAATAGCTCTATATAAAACAAGAGCAGTTCATTCCTACAAGTTTACCATTTTAAACCCCACATTCTTACTAAAAACAAGACCCCTCATCCATACCATAGTTTAGACTAACTGTATTTGACTTGCACATACGTTACCCGTTTTCAAAGAATAATAAATTTAGACTTGACTCCCCTAGCTATTTTCTCGTAGATCACTACAAACTTTTACGTCATTTAACTACAAGATGAAGGAAGCAGCAGCAAGAGAAAAGTATAAATCTAATTACCTTTTTCACACAGGCTATATTTTGCTAGACAAGAATTAAAGGAATATGAGTAGATGAAAGATTATTTGAAACTTTGGTTCAGAAAATAACTTGTTAATAATAAAACACAGTAACTAATAATAAATCAAAGTAACTTGCTTAAACACTAATTAAGCAAGGAGATAGCTTAAGACTGGCAACAATGAATTCATCCTTAAGCATAACATGGTAGCTGAAGATTGACCGCAAGTGTTCGTTACTTCTTTGTAGAGGTGTCATAAAGAATCTCTAGTTCTTATTACCCCAAAGAGGACACAGCCAGGTGTGTTACACTAACACCCGCCACTAACTGCAGGGAGGACACAGCCAGGTGTGTGCTGCACTAATACCCACCACTAACCGCAGGGAGGACACAGCCAGGTGTCCTACACTAATACCCGCCACTAACCGCAGGGAGGACACAGCCAGGTGTACTACACTAATACCCGCCACTAACCACAGGGAGGACACAGCCAGGTGTCCTACACTAATACCCGCCACTAACCGCAGGGAGGACACAGCCAGGTGTCCTACACTAATACCCGCCACTAACCGCAGGGAGGACACAGCCAGGTGTCCTACACTAATACCCGCTACTAACCGCAGGGAGGACACAGCCAGGTGTCCTACACTAATACCCGCTACTAACCGCAGGGAGGACACAGCCAGGTGTCCTACACTAATACCCGCCACTAACCGCAGGGAGGACACAGCCAGGTGTGCTACACTAATACCTGCCACTAACCGCAGGGAGGACACAGCCAGGTGTCCTACACTAATACCCGCTACTAACCGCAGGGAGGACACAGCCAGGTGTCCTACACTAATACCCGCTACTAACCGCAGGGAGGACACAGCCAGGTGTCCTACACTAATACCCGCTACTAACCGCAGGGAGGACACAGCCAGGTGTCCTACACTAATACCCGCCACTAACCGCAGGGAGGACATAGGCAAATGTCCTACACTAATACCCGCCACTAACCGCAGGGAGGACACAGCCAGGTGTCCTACACTAATACCCGCCACTAACCGCAGGGAGGACACAGCCGCGTGCGCTACAAGATAGCAGAGGACAGTGACCCCAGACGACAGTTCAGTGTAGATGGGTCGGGGGCGGTCTGGGTTGTGGGCGGCCTGGATCGCGAGACAGCGGCCGCCCACTCGGTGCTGGTGTGGGCGGTGGATGACGGCACCCCTCCCAGGACTGCCACAGCCACCCTCACTGTAAGTACACATGTTTTTCACTGTATCAGCACTGTATGTACACATGTTGTCACTGTATCAGCACTGTAAGTAATAACTTGTCTGTATAGCACTGTAACAACCAGATGTTTCGTTTGGTTTACATCGTTTTGAATGTCCCTCACTGGCTTCTTTTCCTAATATGCTTCCCAGCTAAAGTGTGTTCTCTCTTACTATTTCCGTTGACCAATTCTTTGTGTTATAATGCGTTTCTATTCTCTATTCTGGAGGAGGTGTTTGTATATATTATATCTCTGAACCTCCTCTCACTCGCCTCTCAAGCCTTGACTCAAAATGAGTCCTACTTACCTGTATCCAATCTTGCATTATCTTTATTTATATATATATATATATATATATATATATATATATATATATATATATATATATATATATATATATATATATATGTCGTACCTAGTAGCCAGAACGCACTTTTTGGCCTACTATGCAAGGCCCGATTTGCCTAATAAGCCAAGTTTTCATGAATTAATTGTTTTTCGACGACCTAACCTACCTAACCTAACCTAACCTAACTTTTTCGGCTACCTAACCTAACCTAACCTATAAAGATAGGTTAGGTTAGGTTAGGTAGGGTTGGTTAGGTTCGGTCATATATCTACGTTAATTTTAACTAAAATAAAAAAAAATTGACCTCATACATAATGAAACGGGTAGCTTTATCTTTTCATAAGAAAAAAATTAGAGAAAATATATTAATTCAGGAAAACTTGGCTTATTAGGCAAATTTGGCCTTGCATAGTAGGCTGACAAGTGCGTTCTGGCTACTAGGTACGACATATATATATATATATATATATATATATATATATATATATATATATATATATATATATATGTCGTACCTAATAGCCAGAATGCACTTCTCAGCCTACTATTCAAGGCCCGATTTGCCTAATAAGCCAAGTTTTCATGAATTAATGTTTTTTCGTCTACCTAACCTACCTAACCTAACCTAACCTAGCTTTTTTTGGCTACCTAACCTAACCTTACCTATAAATATAGGTTAGGTTAGGTTAGGTAGGGTTGGTTAGGTTCGGTCATATATCTACGTTAATTTTAACTCCAATAAAAAAAATTGACCTCATACATAAAGAAAAGGGTTGCTTTATCATTTCATAAGAAAAAAATTATAGTAAATATATTAATTCAGGAAAACTTGGCTTATTAGGCAAATCTGGCCTTGCATAGTAGGCCAAGAAGTGCGTTCTGGCTACTAGGTACGATATATATATATATATATATATATATATATATATATATATATGTCGTACCTAGTAGCCAGAACTCACTTCTCAGCCTACTATTCAAGGCCCGATTTGCCTAATAAGCCAAGTTTTCCTGAATTAATATATTTACTATAATTTTTTTCTTATGAAATGATAAACCAACCCTTTTCTCTATGTATGAGGTCAATTTTTTTTTTATTGGAGTTAAAATTAACGTAGATATATGACCGAACCTAACAAACCCTACCTAACCTAACCTAACCTATATTTATAGGTAAGGTTAGGTTAGGTAGCCAAAAAAAGCTAGGTTTGGTTAGGTTAGGTAGGTTAGGTAGACGAAAAAACATTAATTCATGAAAACTTGGCTTATTAGGCAAATCAGGCCTTGAATAGTAGGCTGAGAAGTGTGTTCTGGCTATTAGGTACGACATATATATATATATATATATATATATATATATATATATATATATATATATGTCGTACCTAGTAGCCAGAACGCACTTCTCAGCCTACTATGCAAGGCCCGATTTGCCTAATAAGCCAAGTTTTCATGAATTATTTGTTTTTCGACTACCTAACCTACCTAACCTAACCTAACCTAACTTTTTCGGGTACCTAACCAAACCTAACCTATAAAGATAGGTTAGGTTAGGTTAGGTAGGGTTGGTTAGGTTCGGTCATATATCTACGTTAATTTTAACTCAAATAAAAAAAAATTGACCTCATACATAATGAAATGGGTAGCTTTATCATTTCATAAGAAAAAAAATAGAGAAAATATTATAATTCAGGAAAACTTGGCTTATTAGGCAAATCGGGCCCTGCATAGTAGGCTGAGAAGTGCGTTCTGGCTACTAGGTACGACATACTAGGTATATATATATATATATATATATATATATATATATATATATATATATATATATATATATATATATATGTCGTACCTATATGTCGTACTAGGTACGACATATATATATATATATATATATATATATATATATATATATATATATATATATATATATATATATATATATGTCGTACCTAGTAGCCAGAACTCACTTCTCAGCCTACTATGCAAGGCCCGATTTGCCTAATAAGCCAAGTTTTCCTGAATTATTATATTTTCTCAATTTTTTTTCTTATGAAATGATAAAGCTACCCATTTCATTATGTATGAGGTCAATATTTTTTTATTGGAGTTAAAATTAACGTAGATATATGACCAAACCTAACCATCCCTACCTAACCTAACCTAACCTATCTTTTTAGGTTAGGTTAGGTTAGATAGCCGAAAAAGTTAGGTTAGGTTTGGTTAGGTAGGCTAGGTAGTCGAAAAACAATTAGTTCATGAAAACTTGGCTTATTAGGCAAATCGGGCCTTGCATAGTAGGCAGAGAAGTGCGTTCTGGCTATTAGGTACGACATATATATATATATATATATATATATATATATATATATATATATATATATATATATATATATATATATATATATATATATATATATATATAGACCCTGGCTAACACCTACATTAACCTCAGTATTGCACAACCAGGTGGCGCTGCCACCCACAGGGAAGCAGCCAAATCCCGTAAGTATAGAGAACTGGTTCACCACTACAATTTTGTCCCCATTGCTTCTGAGACACTCGGCGCCTGGGGTAAAAGTGCTACCAGTTTTTTGAAGGAACTGGGTTCTAGGCTCATTGAAACAACAAGGGACTCTAGAGCTGCCAGCTTTCTTTTCCAGCGCCTCAGCGTGGCGATACAGAGGGGAAATGCGCACTGCATCCAGGGTTCCTGCTCACCATCTGAGGAGCTGGAGGAACTCGACAACCTATGATAACCATCTTTGTAACCTATATGTAACTCCTTTTTTGTAACAAGGTTCAAATAAAGCAAATATATATGTGTACATACAAAAGAATGGGGGTGGTAGGAGAAGATAATATTAGTGTTCAGTGAGAGACCACAAGGTCTCCTCTGAATACTTTATATTTTCTTCTCCGAGGCTATGGGTCCCCACATTGGCACCAGAGGTGGTACCCTCACACATTTTTATATATATATATATATATATATATATATATATATATATATATATATATATATATATATATATATATATATATATATATATATATATATATATATATCTGAAAACTCACACCCCAGAAGTGACTCGAACCCATACTCCCAGAAGCAACGCAACTGGTATGTACAAGACGCCTTAATCCACTTGACCATCACGACCGGACATAATGAGGTAATAGCCGAGGCTATTTGAAACACCCCACCACCGGCACTCGGATAGTAATCTTGGGCATAGCATTTTACCAAATCACCTCATTCTTTGGGGCACACGTGAGGAACACAAATGCGAACAAGCCTGAATGGTCCCCAGGACAATATGCAACTGAAAACTCTATGCCCAAAATTACTATCCGAGTGCCGGCGGTGGGGTGGTTCAAATAGCCTCGGCTATCACCTCATTATGTCCGGTCGTGATGGTCAAGTGGATTAAGGCGTCTTGTACATACCAGTTGCGTTGCTTCTGGGAGTATGGGTTCGAGTCACTTCTGGGGTGAGAGTTTTCAGTTGCATATTGTCCTGGGGACCATTCAGGCTTGTTCGCATATATATATATATATATATATATATATATATATATATATATATATATATATATATATATATATATATATATATATATAAATATATATTAGTATATTTTGGTAGCAGTCTTTCCTGTAGACATATATTATTAAATATGACCGAAAAAGTAAGATTAATAATTCTAACACGAATTTTCTCTATCTTTCTTACGTTTCTTTTTACTGTTGATGGTAATTCAAAGATAAATTCTCCAAAATTCATTTTTATTTCTACTCTGACGCGACACTTGAGCGCGTTTCGTAAAACTTATTACATTTTCAAAGAATTTAGTTTACAAACACACAACTGAAACTGAATAGAGCTTGATTGATTGATTGATGAAGATTAAGCCACCCAAGAGGTGGCACGGGCATGAATAGCCCGTAAGTTGTGGCCCTTTTGAGCCATTACCAGTATCAAAAGATGATACTGGAGATCTGTGGAGGCGCAACTGCACCCTGCGTGACGGGAGATGGCTCCCGGACCAAATGGTGACCAAATGGTGAACCGTCAATAGAGCTGAAGAAGATGAAGATGAAGCCACCCAAAAGGTGGCACGGGCATGAATAGCCCGTAAGTGGTGGCCCTTTTGAGCCATCACCAGTATCAATAAATGATACTGTAGATCTGTGGAGGTGCGACTGCACCCTACGTGACGGGAGATGTCTCCCGTGCAATGGAGCTTGCAATAGAGCTTGCACATCTTCGAGTTTATATCTACATTTGGGTGAGGTGGATGAGGTGAAAACAAACTTTCAACAATGGGTATTAAATGGGTATTAAATTCAAACACAAGACGTAACACGAAACAATGGGTATTGAATGGAAGTAATTGTAGAAAGCCTATTGGTCCATATTTCTTGATGCTTCTATATTGGAGCGGAGTCTTGAAGTGGGTAGAATATAGTTGTGCATTAATTGGCTGATGATTGATGGTGTTGACTTCTTGATGTGTAGTGCCTCGCAGACGTCAAGCCGCCTGCTATCACTGTATCTATCGATGATTTCTGTGTTGTTTGCTAAGATTTAACTGGTGATGGTTTGTTTGTGGGAAGAAATTATATGT